GTCTTTGGGGACTAAGTCCCCCCCTAGCATTGCCAACCTCCAGGTGGTGGCTGGAGATCTCCTGGGATTACAACTGATCTCCAGTTGACAGAGATCAGTTCACCTGGAGAAAATGGCTGCTTTGGAAGGTGGACTCTGTGGTATTATGCCCTGTTGAAGTCCCTCCCTCACCAAACCCCACCCTCCTCAGGCTCCGCCCCCAAAATATCCAAGTATTTCCCAATCCAACACTGGCAAATCTAGTCGCAGCAGTGTTCCCTCTAAGCTGAGTTAGTGTGGGCTAGAGCTCACAGTTTTTTAGCCTCTGGGTCACACATTTTTGCCTCAGCTCAGGGAAGGATGGCTCCAGAGCAAACTAGGTTATGCAGTAGCCAAGTCAATCGCTCACAACTTTAATGCTAGTAGCTCACAAAGTAGAATTTTTGCTCACAAGACTCCACAGCTTAGAGGGAACAAGTAATATTATATTATAAAAACTGAGGGACTGTTGTCTCCTGTTACATGGCAAGTTCAAAGTGAGGGGAGGCTACAAATACCCACAAGGATCAACCACACATTTAACTTTGGAAGGAATCACACCAGGACAGGTTTTATACTGTGTATTTTAATACTTCTCTGCACTGAGAAAATTGAAAAATTGCATTAAAAATGAAAGCTGGGATTTTTTAAACATGATCCAGTGCGCAAGAAAAAAGGACTTTCTGCAGCTATCTAAACTGACTTGCCCGCTCTTGAACTAGACCTCGCTGCTATTGTTGTCTCACTGGCCGCACCAAACTCAAATTCATACAGCTGAGAAAACTGTATATTCCAGTCCGTTAGCCCCAAGCCTTCCTTTGGATCACCTCCCATTCCTGAGCTCGTAAAATAAGAAGTCTTTGTGCTTGAAAATATGCCTGTGTGGTCCTAGTTCACTGGAGAACCTTTTTAATGTTTTTTTTTAAAAAACAGACAAATTGTATATGCTGCTTCCAAGAGAGAATCGGGAGGGGGGGGACAGCAAGAAACTTCAAGATATGTTTCGAAAGTAAGAACTACCTTTAGACAGGGTTGCTGTCAGGCCTGGAGAACAGAGTCCTGTCCCTTTCATAGAGGCTTAATGCGTGGAAATAGGCAGCTGAAACTTTTCATGGCATGGAGATAAAGAACATCCCATTAAGCCTCTGTTAAAGGGATAGGACATTTTTCTCCAAGCCTACTGGCAACCCTTACTCTTAAGAGGGTGAAATCTCATAAAGCTGTGGATGCATCCAACACTCTTGATATCCTCTAGGATACTTAGTACTGGAGAAGGAAGGATACTATGAGAATCTGGGAAAAGTGGCCCCTAGACTGCATGCCTTGGTCAGCCTGAAATTCACACGTGTGGTTAGTGTAAAAAAGGTAAAGGTTCCCTTGCTCAAAAGCCAGTTGAATCCGACTCTAGGGTTGCGGTGCTCATCTCCGTTTCAAAGCCAAAGAGCCAGCGCTGTCCGAAGACGTTTCCGTGGTCATGTGGCTGGCATGACTAAACACCAAGACGCACGAGAACGCTGTTCCCTTCCCACTGAAGTGGTACCTATTTATCTACTTGCAATTTCTTGCTTTCGAACTGCAAGGTTGGCAGGAGCTGGAACTAGAGACAGGAGCTCACTCCGTCATGCAGCACACTCGGGTCTCGAACTGCTGAACTATCAACCTTTCAGCCCGCAGTTCAGCATCTTAACCACTTGAGCCAACAGAGAGAGACCAAATCAGGATACAGTTTAGGATTTGGACAGGCAACTGGAACCTTATCCATCATGGTACTACTTTCTTCCACACAAACTGAGAATGGCTGAGGGCAGTCGTGGAACCTTCTAAATTTACTGTCCTTTTCAGGACTCACCTGCACAGTAACTCCATACTTCTTTTCCCCTCATAAAACGCAGGGATCTCACACAAGGCGTCTTTTCACACAGAGGATTCCCCACAGTTTGGTTGTCGACTTGCAGCAGTCTCCCCCCCCCCCCCCCCCCCAAGCTTCCTCATGTCCTCCTTGTAGTCTGTTCTCCTCCTGTGGGTTCTTTGTTGTTTCTCTGTGTTTTCTCAAACTGGATCGTAGGTGGTTTGAAAGTGCATGGAGAAATGGATGAGGAAGTGTCAGGAAGACAACAGGAAAAATCAGAGGCGAGGAAGCGCAGAGGAAAAAACCCCTGCAGGTTAGCACCTGAACTTCTGTATGAAAAGACCCCACTTATTTTTATTATTTATTTTATTTAGTTTATTTGTGCCCAGCCTTTTCCCTCTCGTCTTTCTCCATTTTATCCTCACAACAACCCTGTGAGGTAGGTTAGGCTGAGATAGTATGGCTGGCCCAAGGTCACCCAGCAAGCTTCCATGGTACTTAACACTGAATGAGTTCATATTTTTCACATTTAGCATTACTGAGTAACGGGCTGTATTCCATCCCCATTTCACACATTAAGAGCATAAGAACATAAGAGAAGTCAATGTTGGATCAGGCCAATAGCCAATAGCCCATCTAGTCCAACACTCTGTCACACAGTGGCCAAAAATACCAGGTCCAGCAGTGGGGCCAGGACACTAGAAGCCCTCCCACTGTTGTCCCCCCCCCCCAAGCGCCAAGAATACTGAGCATCACTTGCCCCAGCCTGAGAGTTCCTATCTATACCTTGTGGCTAATAGCCACTGATGGACTTCTATGCCATATACTTATCTAATTTCCTCTTGAAGCTGTCCATGCTTGTAGCTGCCGCCACCTCCTGTGGCAGTGAATTCCATGTTTCCATGTGGCAGTGAATTCCGTGTTTCCATGTGGCAGTGAATTCCGTGTTTCCATGTGGCAGTGAATTCCGTGTTTCCATGTGGTGAATTCCCTCCACATTATGTGGAGGCAAACCTGAAATGGCCATCAAGCCATTTTTCTGCCTCTTCCCTTGGATCACTGTGCTTTCTCCTCTACCCTCACAACCTTGCTGTGAGAAAGTCACTACCTACTTTTGGATCCTGACCAACAGTTTAAAAACCACTAGCCTCGATGAGGTAGTAAAATGGAACACACCATATGAGGCTGCAGGTCACATTTTGGGATGTTTCCCTTTGCAAAATGAAAGCCACCAAGTCAAGCAAAGACAGGGAGTCAAGCTCTCTACCGGCGATGCCAGCTATCTACTGGCATGGAGGTTTTTGTATGCAATGTTCAAAGCTGGAATCTATCATCCCCCAAAGCGGCACATTCCATTCTACCTCCTCAATATTCTATCGCCCTATTCTTCTGCCTGCATAAATCAGGCCTCAGACTTGATCAAAGTCCCTGTCTCAAAGTCCGCAGCTGAAACGCATAATAAAGGGAGTAATCTACCCAAGGTTCTGGGCAGAAAAAGTGTTAAACAAAGAAACAAAGGGAAAAGGGTTAAACAGTCCCTTGCTTCTGTGGCATTGGGCAGGGCCGAAGGCTCCCAGGCTTCAACCAAGTCAAAATAGGACTCCAGTCAGAGTTCAGTTATCAACCAGGAGCTTAAAATGATGGGTTTAGGAAAGGGGAACACATGGTGCTGGCATCTTACTTATTCAAATATGTAGCAAACCTTTACTAGATCCAGAAATGGTCTCTAGCAGTTGCTGAACCATTTCATTCACGACTGAACTAGCCCTGCACATACAACTGCTCTGCACTTTGAGAGAACATGTGGAGAGGGAGAGGGGGCAAGAATACACTGTCCCACCCTCCTGCCTCCATGTGATAGGTAGCTCATAGGGTTGACAGATCTGGGTTGGAAAATATCTGGAGATTTGGGGCATGGATCTCTGGAGGAGGGACTTCAGCGGGGCATAATACTGTAGAGTCCATCCTTCAAAGCACCCATTTTCTCCAGGGGACCTGATCTTGGTCATCTGGAGATCTATTGTAACAGCGGGAGATCTCCAGGTGGTGCCTGGAGGTTGGCAATCAGTCAGCATGATGGCCATGCATGGAAGGAATGTGCAATGCACATGCACCCTCCCTGTGATGAGGGACACTAGTTTCTGAATGTTGTTGTTCATGGGGAAGGAGCATATATGACAACACTGCCTTGTGCATAGGGGTGTTATGCTCATGAGCTGGTGATCACAAGGAGGCAGGGGCCGTTCTCTCCCTCTCTGTTCTGTTGATAATGCTGAGGACTTCCTAAACAGACCCTTGGTCTACCAAGCTCCATACTGTCTACTAGGACTGGCAGTGACTCTCTCCAGAGTCTCAGGCAAAGGACATTCGCATCACCTGCCACCTGATCCTTTTTAACTGGAGATGCTGCAGAACTGAACCTGGAACCTTCTGCATGCACTGCAGAGGCTCTACCATTGGCCAATAGCTCCTCTGCTGTGCACAGCTGGAAAACGGTAGTTTAGATTCTTCTTCCCCAACCACATCTGTATACCCATTATTCCCTTGAGTAGCTTTCCTATTTGAAAAGGGCCACTGCCCTGCCATTACATATATTTGCATGCTCTGTGTCGCCTGAGCCTGCAACTGTAAGCTGTGAACTCTAGCCTAGGGTCATGAGACATGACCCTAAACATGGTGCTGCCATTCAGTATCTTCAAGTGAAGTGCAGTGATGATCATACCACCTCACTTTACAGGCTTTTTGTAGAGAAATGTAGATGGAGTGCTCTGAACACTGAAAATGTGCTATATAAAAGTACTGTGATGATTAATAAATTCAGCTTTGGTCCACTGGGTTAGACCATGCTTTTTGGAGCTTCAGGGGCAGCAGAAGAGTGATGTCATCTTTCCCCCCCCCAGCTGTAGCACATCTGTACCAAAAAGGGAAGGGGGTGGCATGTCCGCTTCTGAGTACAAACTCTAGCAAACATTGTCCAAAACGCCCAAAACAGGTGCTATGAATGCTTTAAAATAAAATGTGTGGGAAAAATCTACTAAAAGAAGCAGACACGTTTATAAAATTAAGTCCTGTTTGGTACCTAGGGGACAATTATTGAGCCAGGAACAAAGGCTAGCAAATTCCTTCTGCTTCAGGAACTTGTCTGCAAATACAACCTCACCCGCCTAGACTTAATGAGGAGGAGAGGACAGATTCTTGAACTGGTCCATGACCTCTTTGATGTCCCATTTTTTTATTTGCAAAATATGCATTTCCAATGTCTTGCCCGTTCTCAAGACTTAGCAAGGATTTGCAAAGCAGATGTTGAACCCTAATGCACCGTTTCCCATTCACATATATAACACATTTTTAGACTGGCTGGGGCTCTCTCATCTCAAAAGCCTCTTTCTTTTTTTCCTACACTGTTTATTGTCCACGTCTTCGGTATCGTCAGGAGGGTCGGGCATGACAAAACCGTCCGTCAGCTTATAGTAGACTATTGTTGAATCTGATTCAACTATAGCCAGCGTGATGGACATTGGGGAATCGGACACCGTGTGCGTTCTCTTCATGATCTGCCTCATCCTGAAAGAAAACAAACAGATGAAAAAATAGTCAGCCATCATGTTTCAAGATCATGCAGCTTTTGTTTAAATTTCACTTGAAGGCAACCTAACAAAGAGAGCAAATGTGCACTGCTGCTATCAACCAAATGCAAAAGTGGATTGCCAACTTGGGGGGGTTGCCCCTATGATTGGCAAGCTTTCACTGGTAAGGCTATTGAGTCTTTAAAGGCTGTACTACTGAAAGGAATGGAAGTGGCACTGTGGTGTAGTTCTGCCAAGTAATGTAGATGAGGCCATGGAGGCCACAGTGTTGCATGCAGCACTATATCACTTCTGATTTTTAAAAAAACCAGAAGTGACAAAGCGTGGCTCTGAAAATTGCTGGAAACTCCATGATGAAACCATAAAACGTCTGGTGATTCCTAGAGCTGCCCTTGGTCACTTCCAGTACGAACTTCCAGGAAGGACATGAAACTGTTTTTTTTGTTTGTTTTTTTACTTTTCTCTCACAGCCACTCTGTGGGAGAAGGGACATGGGGGCAGGGACTCCCTCACCGGAAGCCTGGTGGCCCAACTGTGGTGTAATGGTGTTGGGGCAGGATCTTGGAGACGTCGGTTAAAATCCCCACTTTACCACTGAATACTCTATCTCCATGTGGCTGTAATGAGGAAGTATATTGGCTATGTGTTTGACAGAATGTTGGCCTTATAGTATTAATCTATGGTGTGAAGTAATATTGGTATTTATTAACACATTTGAATTTTCTCCCTCCCATCCCTCCTGTAACCTGTGGTTGGTCACATGGGGCGATGTGTGTATGTTTTCCATTCTGATTGCCTCATCCCCTTGCCTAACATATAAGGGGTAGTAGGACACTTTGCACTGTACACTATTACATACTCTTGGCACCAGAGGGCATCTACATTTTTTGAGGGGACCAGGAGAGGAAGGTAATTTCTATGGATACGTATTATTTGTTGATTTTAATTCTTCCATTTTATTTGAGTTCTTCTCCATCATTTTTTTTTAATTGTGTTCATCAGGATATCCTTGAATACTTTTGTAGATACATAACTGAATTACCATTCAAGACATGTCCACTTCACCAGGGCAGCAAGTTATTTAAAATGAGGCCTCTGAATTATATCTCTGCCTTTAGGTCACAGATACTGATTATAAGTAACTTAATATATATGTATCTTTTCAACACATCTTTTTGTCACGTTCATAACAATGTATTAATTTTAATAATGATTTCCCCCCCTTTTCTTCTGTTTTTTCCCCCAACACAATTTCAACTTGGCCCAATTTTAAGCAATAACTATATTATTTTTATTTATTTATTTATTTAGATTTGTTAACCCCCCCCCCCCCCGCCATAGCAGACTCAGGGTGGCTCACATGATAAAAGCACAATAACAATAAATATAGACATCTAAAAACAATCCTTAGAACAGTTCACAAACAATTCATTAAAACCATTTACAATATATTAAAGTGAATCCTGCCATGTGCAAAGCCCCATTACTGCTGCGTTAAATCAGCAGCCAGAGCAGCAATGGAGAAACCACACAAACCGATCTTCATGTGGAAAGCACCTACATCCAAAGGCAAGAGACATCTCGATCCGTGGGCCCTAGCTTCCCTTCTTATTGTGAGGCAACTCTCACGAATGCTAACTTAAAACTCAATTCTCTTCTGCTCCAGTGCACTCAGATAGGAGAACCGTTGTTGGGTACAGGTAGGCTGTAGACGGAGCGTCCTAGGTAAACTGGTAACAGCTAATTTTCCCAACTGAGACCCATTTAGTGAATGCAGCAAGGACAAAGCAGGTACTTGATTTGAAATACAAATATGCCATCTGGTTGCCACATACCCACCCTGTGCAGGATATGATTTAGAGGCTATTCTTTAAGGGCACGCATCTCCGGAATTAAGGCAAAGCTGAACCGGAGCTCCGGCTGCCTTGAGGGAGCATTGCTGGGGCAAGCGGGCAGAATTCCCAATCGACTCTGCTTCTGCACAAGTTATTTGTGGAGGAAACAGAGAGGAAGATCCGACTGTGAAGCTCTTCTCCAGTGATCACACAGGAGGCATTGTGTGCGGCACATCTGCCGTGAATGGGTATATTGACAAACCGCGTGTCAAGCTGATAGCACAACGTACGCATGCCAAGAGACTTTTCTACTTCAAAAGGCACTGTGGGGCCCAAGAAAGGAAATACCAATGGGAGAAGGACAGAGAGACAGGTACTCTCTCTCCACGCAATCCATATTTTTCAACTTTTCCTCCTCTGGGCTTCTGAGAGTCAGCACAAGCCAACACATGGGTATAGTCACTAGAAGAATCTGACTTGAAAGAGAGTCTGGCTGAGATTGCTTTTTTCAATCATTTGAACTCCCACGGAAGTGCAGGAAATGGATGGCACATGGCATGGCAAAAAACAACAACAACAATCCCCCTCTAGAATACCTTCTTCTGTATTAGATATCTACTGCGGATGCAATAAGAGAGGCATAGAAACAGTTGAGCATGGGCTCTTTTTGTAGCAGGAACTCCTTTGCATATTAGGCCACACACCCCTAATGTAGCCAATCCTCCAAGAGCTTACAGAGGTCTTCTTACAGGGGCTACTGTAAGCTCTTGGATGATTGGCTACATTAGGGGGGGTGTCGCCTAATATGCAAAGGAGTTCCTGCTACAAAAAGAGCCCTGCGTTACGTTGTTATTTACTAAACGACATTCGAGCAAAATTTCTGGAAGTCCCCCTTGGCAAGGTAGCATGCCAACCGGACGGAAGCAAGCTACACTACCTCCTTACTTCCCGGGATTCGGAGATTATTGAACTGACTGCCAAGTTCTTTTATGTTCTTATATAACGGGGAAATGTCCCTGATCATTCTAATTGAGTTCAATGAGTTTGTATAATTTAATTCAAGGTTTTGCGGTTGGGCAAAATTTTATCTTGCTATAATTTAAGCTTATATAAATAGACATACCTTTGTAATGCTTTTAGAAGTTATTTATTTTCCACAAATTTTATAGGATTGTTTTACTCCAATGGCAACTGTTTAATATTTTATGCCAATAAAAGGTATTTGTTGTTGTTGTTGTTGTTGTATTAGATATCTACAGAATGTGAACGGTGAAATTACTTGCACGCAAACCAGTCACATGAACAAGTTTATAATCCCAGACTGGCCACTATGGGTTCCGTGTTGAGCACTGTCAAGTAATTTCCGATTAATGTTGGCTCGATGAATTAATGACCTCCAAAACATTCTATTGTTAACACCCTTGCTCAGGTCTTGCAAACTGAGGGCCGCGGCTTCCTTTATTGACTCAGTCTATCTCATGTTGGGACTTCCTCTTTTCTTGCTGCCTTCAACTTTTCCTAGCATTCTTGTCTTTTCCAGTGACTCTTGCCTTCTCATACTATGACCAAAGTACAATAGCCTGAGTTTTGTAATTTTAGCTTCTAGGGAGAATTCAGGCGTGATTTGGTCTAGAACCCATGGTATCCACAAAACTCTCCTCCAACACCACATTTCAAAGGAATTAAATTTCTTCCTGCCCGTTTTCTTCATTATCCAACTTTCGCACCCATAAATAATACTGGGGAATACTATGGCATGAATTATCTTGGACTTGGTCGCCAGCAACACATCCCTACATTCAAGAATCCTTTCTAGTTCCTCCATGGCTGCCCGCCACCATGTTGCAGCCCAAATAAAGAGGAGCCCTATAGGGATGGGGTTGCCAAAAACCCCGGTTTGCCAGGGGTCCCCCGTTTTTTGGGGGGTTCTACCCGCTGCCGGCCAGATGGCCGGCGGGGGAAGCCCCACCCCCAACACCCACAGCCACCCTTTAAGTGTGTGGAACCCGTGTTTCCTCCCAAGCCTGATCACTGCAAGCTTGCAGGGAAATGCCAGCTTCGAGCTCTTAAAAGGGAAATGCAGCTGCTCTTAAAGGGGAAACGCCGGCTCCTGCATTTCAAAGGGAAACGCTGGCTTCTTTAAGTGCAGGGAACTGCTGTTTCTGGAGATCCGGCGCACGGGGGGGGGGCGGCAGACATCCCCAATGTGACGTCATCACGTTGGGGATGCCCCACCCCCTCCAGGACTGCCCCCAACGCTTTTTCACTGGAGAATGTCCCTTTGCTTTGCTTTCCAGCTTAGAAGCAGATGGTTCATATCCTGCCAGGGGCAAGGTCTTCCAGTAACAGGTCTGACCTACAAAGCTCCTACCTTGGGGATATTTATGGGGGGGGGGCTTCTTGCAGATGTTTCTCAGACTGCAAGCTTCATTCTCGTTTCAACGTTTGTTTTTCCTATCGAAGTCTTCTGATACATTTGGGTTTTCCTTCATTCTGTAGACCACAAGGTTTGCCTGACCACAAAAGCAGTTTTACTGTCATGGCAAAGGGGAACATGAAGAGTTGCGCATTTTGCACCAGGGAACGGAGAAATGGGTCAACAGGACAGGTGCAGAATGGATCAAGCAGGTGGGTACAAATAAAAGCACCCTCTACACAATGCTTTTTCATCTTTTCAAGATATCAGAATCGTCTTCAGGCAAACACCGACGTGGACCAAGGTCAGCAGGCCAATCTCAGGCAGAAAGCTGGTTGCTTTACAACCCTGCCTGGGAATCCTAAATGTGCAGTGGAAAATCTTACTCACTGCCCACACAGGAAGCCATGTGCTATGTCTATTGATCTGTGTATATAAATGCAATGTATACTACCCTTTTCCACAGGAAAAAAAGGGGAAAGGGGAGCTTTTCACTGGAGAATGCCCCTTTGCTTTGCTTTCCAGCTTAGAAGCAGATGGTTCATATCCTGCCAGGGGCAAGGTCTTCCAGTAACAGGTCTGGCCTACAAAGCTCCTACCTTGGGGATATTTATGGGGGGGGGGAGGTCTTCTTGCAGATGTTTCTCAGACTGCAAAGTTCATTCTCGTTTCAACGTTTGTTTTGCCTATCCAAGTCTGCTGATACATTCGGGTTTTCCTTCATTC